GTTGAATGGCGCTACACAATCACAAAAGAGAACGGTAGCAAAATAACACAAAAATATCCCCCAAAGCGAATTGTACCAAATAAAAGGAATCAGATCACTTGAAGACTTTCAACAGCAGCAACAACTAAAATGGATAGCACATGTAACTCAAAGAGAAGATACTGACGTAATCAATATGTTAGCTTTCGACACTAGATTAAACAAAAGGTTAGGAAGGAAACCGCCATCATTACTGGAAAGAGCGATAGCAGTTACGGGTCTTGAGAAACTTATTTTCCTAAAAAGTTGTTTTGATAGAAATATTTTATAAATTCACAACTGACAGTGTGCTGTCAGCTTGGTCAGTGAACGCTGAATGTTTCCTTATAAGGAAACGGTCAATATTACCATTATCACGCACCATATATGCTTTTTTTTCTTCTTCAAGTTTTTTAGATGTTGAAAGGAAAACGCCCCACAGAAGAAGAAGCCTTGATATGTCTGGCTTATTATAAGAAGCGAAACATGAATACTAGTGAACACCATCAGAACTGATGTCACTGGCGGACCGCTTACGAACACCGGCTGCTGTAAATAAAGAGGAGTAAAGTCTAACAAATATCTTCTCACCAGTGGAATGTGGAGAAAGTGCTAAAGGTCAGTGGTAAGTTCAACTATCGACTTCTGTTTTGGATTACGCCTAACATTTGTGTCTACAGTGGCCTAAGAAAAGTTTTTAGCCAGGAGAAATAAACTACATCTAATTTCAAAATTTAATAGCATAATCCCTATTCAACATAAACTAACAGTATTTGGAATAGAATAGAGTAGGTCCTCCATTTGCTAGTTTCAATTTTGTATTCAATTTTTCATGGATTTGATCAAGTTATCAACAATAGTCTGAGCCATATTTTGCCACTCCTTTAATAATGTTACTTTAAGGTTTGCCACTGACGTGATATTGGTTGCACGCTCTCGAAGTCTTCAGTCAAGGTGCTACCAAACGTGCTCTATTGGATTCATGTCAGAATATTGGGCTACCCATGGCAATGATTTCATTGCTTACGATTCCTACCAAGTCTTTGCTATTTTGATCGTATGACATGGCGCTACGTCTTCTTGAAAAAGGTAGACATTTTTGTCAATCTGATTGGTTTCAAATAGTGGGAGTAGTCCTTTCTCTAATATTCGACAGTATGTTGGGCCTTTCAACCGCTCGTCAACAAGAATCAACTCAGATTTCCCTCCAAACCAGACAGCGTCCCATACCATTACTCCAGTCCCTCCATGTTTCAAGGTCGCCTGCAGACATTCAGTGTTTCAAGTCACATTCTGATTTCTCCAAACAAATCTGTCTCGAATTCGAATATTGGCAAGAATTTGCTTTCTTCTGACCAAATTACAGACTGCTAAAATTCATAATCTTTGCTCTCGAATTCTCTCGCCCAATCCATGCGAAAGTTCCTGTTAACCTCTGAAATCAAGGGCTTCTTTCTTGCAACTCTTCTTTGATAGCCTAGCTCTTTCAGAGTATTTCTCGTCGCATATGGCGACATTTCCATGCTATTGGCCACATCTTTGACGCTTTGACAATGCTTTCTGATGACTTCCCTTTTCAGTGCCTTTATCGTTCGCCCAGACACGGTGTTTGGTCTTACTGAACGTTGTTCCACATGACAATGGCCTTCTTCATTAAATTTCTTGAAAATATTATTAACCATTTGATGACTAACCTGGAAAAACCTAGCAATTTTCTCTATTTGACATACCCTTGTTGAAATTCACTAATTTCCTTACCTCCACGAACTTTCATTGCAAGCTATAAGTCAATTATTGTTCATAGATGAGAGTAGCTTGATACTAACACGTCATTGTCTGAAAATAAAAAGAAGAGACGTTATTAAACAGGACAAAATTGCTGTAATCAAGGGTGGCTTCCTGTATAAGCATCTGTTTCGTAATAAGTAAATATTGGTTGTTTATATTTGATTCCATCAGCATTTACTTGGTTCGAATAAAAGTAAATATTAATGCAATGGTTCAGGAATTGGTAAATATTATTCATTTTTTTATAAACTAAATAAGGACTTCTTATGGGCTCACCGCTCAGTCGTGTAATAGCATGCCACTTCCAAGAACGTTTAAAGTCTGGCCAACCCTTTCAGCGCATTCTCCCAAAACAAATAACATCAGATATATTGACAATGCCCTATAAGTACACCCGTTTCCTAGGAATGACGATAAACCTCTAGACCTGATTGGGAGATTTTGAAGAGCGTGGAGCCACTTCTTAATTGCTGTTGTTCCCAGATCCCCCTTGACAGTGGGGTGGTAGCACCTGTTAGGATCCCTGTTATGGGTAAATAGTGAACTCTTCAACAGCAGTCAAAAGATTATGAAATTATAAAAAAAACATGTTTGTAGTAATAATACCAGCAATAAATTTTCGTAGTAAATAATTGCTATCAATGGATTTTTAAAAAATAAATTACCATAGCTCCCAGGAAAATTAAATTTCGTCATCAAACGATCCATAAGGTGTTGAGATGCCGCTAAACAAACCAAACCAAACTAAGGCACCGTCATGACACACCTCTGCCAAAACTTGCGAATTGACTAACTTGGATAGAACACACACTCAATGTTACATATAAGAGTCTGTAAGCATTTAATTGCCTAGGGAATAGGTAAATATTTGGGGTTTATAGTAGGGCTTATCTGTATTTAAATGGTTCGAGAACAAGTAAAGGTCATTTATATTTGAAGCTAAATATATTTGCTTTCTTTGGGAATTCTTTAAAGTATATTGTTGTGGTAGGATCCACCTAATTTGCATAGTGGAGTACCGACCATATAAATATGGTTGGTACCGGGAAGTGAGAGGGAGGAATCAAGAGATTCAATCCAGAGACTCTGCCCGACTGCGACTAAGTCAACCCATTCTCCAGGAACGGTCTTCCCAGGAATATACAAAAGACTATATGTAAATATTGTGTACACTTTCTTGTTTCAATACATTTTGTTCTAAGTACATTTTGTGTTGTATTATTATTCCATGCATTAGTCAAGTTTCAACATATATGAAACATTTTGCATTCGAAAAAATATATTTAAGCATCAAAATTGAATCTTTGAAACTCCGACATGAGTTTTATCTTAATGTTACCGTTCGAAAAACCTGGTAAGATCTCAGTAAGTTGGACAAACTTGCGTCGCGGTTCACAATGGAAGTTCTCGCTTGGACTGATGCTCAACAGAATCCGTCGACTGTGCGATGAAATAGACAACATGGATCAGGAAACACTGGACAAGGGTCGTATTTCCTGAGGAAATTTATTTATTGTGTCAGATCTGGATAAATTAAGTTATTAATTCATATGAATGAATGATTTTGTCCCAGACATGACTATCGGAACCTTTATCATTAACCACAATCAATGGTTGATTTAATTATTTCTTTAGCAGATACAGAAATTAAAAAAAAAACTTACATAGGCTACAGCAGATAAATGCATTACGTATGCACATCATTACACATACAAATCAAAAATTATCATTATTGTAAATTGTAAATTGATGAGATCTCTGTTGCAGTTTTTTGTGTATACTAAGTGATTAGTGACTTAGTATACACAAAAAACTGCAACAGAGATCTCATAAATGTACAGTTCAGTTGGCTAGATGTAGCCGTAAGTTCTATGCTAACAGTTTCTTTTTTCGCGCTTGAATCTCCGTTCCGGATCCCTGCTTTCCAACCAACTTTAATCTTCAAAGATTTAAACGCAATGTCAATTGCTATCTACTGTCCTCCTGATTACTTTTCTTTTGTTCTCGCTTATTAATAATGTTTCTGTTTCTAATTCTTCCACGCTCAGTAAACCTTGTGACAGTGACTTTATTGTCTTGTTTGGGGTGAACTCGATCAAAAAATAATTCGTTTTCAACTATGTTGCCGAATATAAATATTAGAATTTTACTTAAATAATCCTACACACACACACACACACACACACACACACACACACACACACACACACACACACACACACATACATATATATATATATATATATATATATATATATATATATTTCTCCATCAAGACATTCATTTCTGTAGTTTAGTGCTACCAGCAAGCAGAAATATTTCTCCTCCCGATGATGGCCATTTTGGTCGAAACTAGTCGAGGAATCTAAATGGAATAATAATAATAAAAAAACGAAAGAATATTAATCTACAACCCAGTGTGTCGAAAGATTTTAACTTTTTAATTTTTTATTGTTCATAATATATATATATATATATATATATATATATATATATATATATATATATATAGTAATAAATAAAATTAAATGTTCACTCATCTTGTACCTATTCAGAATTTTTGGGAGATGACATTCACTGGTCAGAGAACTTGTTTTTGGTTGTAATCTCCAGGAAACGTAATTATCACTTTGTATCAAGCATTACAGTTATAAAAATTGCTTGTATTGTGGAACAGACTCCCGAGAGAATGCTTACTCAATCACTAAAATCTTACACGCTTTAAGTCTAGCGCCAACCGCTATCTATCTAACATGTTCTTATAATGTACATCTGTTGCCCCATTCTGTACGCACTTACAACAACAACTTCATTTAGCAACCCTCTACGTTGAGTAGCTCTTGGGCCTTGAATTTGATCAATAATATTAGAAAAATAAGATAGATAAATAGATAGATACGACAGACATATTATTAATAATATGAATAAAAGTAAAAAAAATGTTAGAATTGCAAGAATTTAACGAATTTTTTAAGCTAGCAGAACTGCCAAAAAGCGCTCAATAGATAACTAGAGCTATAATATATTCAATATGTAATAAATCAAGAAAAGTTCAACTGACTAATCTGATTGACCGACTAGAGAGATTCACGTCGAAACTCGCATCAGGACCAGATGTTCGATAAATCGATTAATCTGGCCTCGATGAGCGTTTCGACGCGAAAATCTTGAGTCGGTCAATAAGTCAGTTGAACTTTTCTTGATTTATTGAAGATAGATAGATAGATAGATACAGACTGACATAGATAGATAGATAGATAGATAGATAGATAGATAGATAGATAGATAGATACGAAGAGGTGCCATAGATAGATGCAGATTGACATTGATAGATGGTTACAAAATAATGGTCGGCCAGTCGTTCCTACTCTGCTAGGGTGGCTACCTAATTTCCATTGCAGACGCACATTGGTCCGGCACAACCACAGATGCCACCTGTAATTTATTCTGCAACTAAGTTGAGCGGACCTTAATTACAGTTTCTGTGAGGGAGCGCATTATTTAGTGTGATCAACAGTCTGAAAAATGCGAGCACGCTCAAAGTCTCGGTCACGATGACTTGTGACATCGTGCCAGCACAAGCTTTGACAGCTGTAAAGGTTTCCGTCAACCTAATTTTACTAAAAAAAACTTGGATTAGTCAATGGTATGTTTTTCAAAGATGCCTCATGCTGGGATAGCTTCTTCCGGACTTATAACATCAAGAAGTCACCTTCCTGACAAATCAACCATGGTCAGAAAGCAAATGCTCTAACCACTCGGCCGTGTGCCAATTATACATAGATACATACATATATACATGCGAACGTACATACGAACAGACTAACATAGATAGATAGATAGATAGATAGATAGATAGATAGATAGATAGATAGATAGATAGATTAAAATTGATTGGCATAGATATATACATAGATGCAAAGAGACAAAGATAGATAGATAGATAGATAGATAGATAGATAGATAGATAGATAGATATAGAAAAAAACGATTGACCTAGATAGATAGATAGATAGATAGATAGATAGATAGATAGATAGATAGATACGAACAGACGGACATAGATAGATACGAACAGACGGACATAGATAGATAGATAGATAGATAGATAGATAGATAGATAGATAGATAGATAGATGCGAACAGCCAGATATAGAAAAAAACGATTGACCTAGATAGATAGATAGATAGATAGATAGATAGATAGATAGATAGATAGATAGATAGAAATCAACTGACATGCATAGATAGATAGATAGATAGATAGATAGATAGATAGATACGGACAGACGGACATAGATAGATAGATAGATAGATAGATAGATAGATAGATAGATAGATGCGAACAGCCAGATATAGAAAAAAACGATTGACCTAGATAGATAGATAGATAGATAGATAGATAGATAGATAGATAGATAGATAGATAGATCGATAGATAGATAGAAATAGACTGACATAGATAGATACAACCCAACTGACATGCATAGATAGATAGATAAATACCTACGAACAAACTGGCATAGATCGATCGATCGATAGAGAGTGAGAGAGGAGGGGAGGGATGGAGGGATGGAGTGGGGAAAGAGAAGCGAATAGATTTACATAAGAACAGATTTTAGAGTAATAGGCTGCAGATTCGATGAGATTCGTCAAGAGGAAGAAACGCAGTGTTAGATAAGTAAAGACTACTGGTTAGATAGATAACGAAAAGGAGAAAGGCAAAGAAATATATAATAATAGCTAAAGAGATGAAACGCAGGGAAAGCGAAAACGAAGGGGAAAGAACGTAAAAGCAGAAATGCTGGGAAAATCGAAGATTTTAGTGGAAGAAATCAGAAATCGAATCGATCTTCGAGAATTGGCTTCCCTCTATTTGCCTGACTGATCGACTACCATGCATGTACAGTCGAGGCTGTTGACTTTCGGTTGAGAGTCGGCAAGATCAAAGAAAAATCGGGGAAAGACGATCGGTAGCTGAGTCGGAAGGGAAACTGGATGATGCTGGTGGAGTCAGATCTGCGGAATGAAGGATTCTGGGAAATAGAGCGAGCAATTCAAGGACGCACAGATGAGAGATCTAAATAAAGGTGATCAAGATTGTTGCATGTGAACAAGAAAACAAGATAGAGCATGAGACGTAGTGATTGATCGACTAACATATAGATATGTATGAATAGATTCATTTAGATAGATAGATAGATAGATAGATAGATAGATAGATAGACAGACAGGCAGACAGACATAGACATAGATAGATATCAGGGTAAAGAAGTATTTGATGTTTTATTTATTAATCCGATAGATTTCATCATTGTAAACGTTATTTTTATAGGATATTCATATTTTAGAAGACGTTCTGTTTATTTATTAAACAGTATAATTATTTATTTTCGTCTTCCGGTCTGAATATTGGAGAAATCTTATGAAATAAATATGCGCTCTCCGGCAAAATTTTAACCTGAATCCGACGGACGCTAGATCCGACGTACTCTTGACCGACTGAGCTTCAAAGAACTTAGCCGATCAGGTAAGGTTGAATAATGCCTTTAGGCGAAGTTCTTCTCGTCATAGACTATCGAAATTTTCATATCTGCTCAATATCGTATACATACGTAAACAAAGCTATTTCTTAAAGAAGTAATGAATTTTTATTTATTAACCCGACAGATTTTATCACTATAACCGTTATTTTTAGTGAATTTAGTGTGTATTTGAGTAGACGCCCTGTTTATTTATGAAAGAGTATATTCATTTACTTTCGTCTACCGACCTGAATATTCGAAAAATCTTATTAAAGAAAAACATGTGCTCTTTGACAGGATTCGAAGAACGGGAAACCTTCGTTAGATAGGGTGCGCTCTAGTAATATAGATAGATATGAACAGATTCGCATAGATAGATAGATAGATAGATAGATAGATAGATAGATAGATAATGAACATAACGTAATAGATATGAATTCTTTGAGATAGATAGATAGATAGATAGATAGATAGATAGATAGATAGATAGATAGATTTTCAGTAAATGTAACAGATATGAAGCGAATATTATCCATTAATCACTCGATACGTATCAATGGAGTCTAATGCTTATCGGCAATCAAAATGAAATCGACGAGCCGAGTTCAAATTCCGATCGATTTTGTTTCACTTCGCACTAATGCACTTCAAAATCAGGAATTCGTCTTCCTCCAGCTCTGGGTCAACTAGATGGGCAGACTGTGTTCCCTTGCCTTGACTGGCAGCCAGCCTAGATAAAAAAAACTCATGATTCAAAACTGAAAAGGGCAGGTTGAAAACATCGAGATACACTGGGCACCGTTCCGCCATTGCCGCACCTTTCGAAAAGTTTGGCTGGTTCTACGCAATCCTTCACCATTTTAATCAATATAATATACCGGTTTTTTTTTGTTTTTTGGGGTTTTTTTTTAAGCATTTCACCCCAAGCAAGGCGGGAAGCCACTAGGACGCAAGGGGTTACAGAAAATATAGAGCAAGATCAGATAGGAGTGATAGAAGAAAGGATGAGGAGAAGGGTAGTGGATAGATCAAGGCAACTGGAGATGTCGATTGACATTACATTTGAATAGCTGGAGATTATAGCTCTCAGAGAAACTGGAATAGGGAAGGGAGTTCCACAGGCGAGAGGTGAGAGAGATGAAGCTATCGGAGTACATTTAGGAGAGACGGCTACATTTAGGAGTTTCGACAGTGAAGGGGTGAGAGCGGGATGCCAGCCTCGTAGGACGCTTGAACGCATGAAGTCTGGGAAGCAGCGAATGCAACTCCTCGGAGCAATTGCTATTAAAGTATTTGTAGAACAGACAGAGAGAGGCGACGGCGCGTCTGTGAGAAAGTGACTGTAGACGAGATGCCAGAGCAGGGCCAATTATATTGCATATCGGCCTCTGGAGCCTATCAAGAACCCCGAGGCAAACAGAAGAGCCACCAAACCATATATGGCACCTTCTAGACTGAACTGTTGTACTCTTATACGTCGAAATTGACGGAAGAGTTCACTATATATGATTAGACTATCGATTAGAAAATGAAGAAATGAAAAAGAGACCATAGGTACGAACGAATTCAAAAGAAAGGAAGGAAAGACCGAATAAGAAGAAGAGAGAACGAATGAATAAAAGAAAGAAAGAAGAAAGGAACTAAAGAAACACGGGACAAAGAAAAGGAGAAAAGAAAGAGAGAACAAAGAAAAAGAGAGGACGAACAAAGGAGTGAAACAGGCGAAGGAAGGAAGGAAGGAAGGAAGGAAGGAAGGAAGGAAGGAAGGAAGGAAGGAAAGAATTGAAGAAGGAACGAAAAAGAGAGAAAACGAAGGAAGGAAGGAATTGAAGAAGGAACGGAAAAGAGAGAAAATGAACGAAATGAAATCGTGAAAGAATGAAAAAAATGAAAGAAATATGGAACAAAAGAACGGATCTATGATACAGAGAATAAGAAAAGGGGGAGATAGAATTAAGGAATAAAAGAGAGGAGGAATGAATTAAAGAAATCAGAAAGGAAAGAACGATAAACTGAAAGAAAAAGATCAAAAAGACAACGAAGGAATTAAAAAGACACGTATGGAAGGAATTAAACGAATAAGAAACGGAAGAACGAAGAAGTGAAAAAGTGAACAAAGATGAGAGCGAGTGAAGAAAGGAATAAGAGAATGTAGCAAAGAGAGAAAGAAAGAATGAATGTAATGAAAGAAAAAGAGGCGTACTTTAGTGAATCAATATGTACGTAACATTACATCGTTTTTATGTTAATATACTTAAGATTTTCACTGTATTGTGTGGAATTTATGAGATAAATTAATTCTTTGATCAGAAAGTAATAATGTTGAAAAATCTGTTTTTCTGTATGAAGTAATTTTTTTCAACATAAGACTACGGAGTTAAAGCGTTGTGAAATAATTTGTAGGAAGAAAAAAAATGGAATGAAAATTAGAAATGAAAGAAAAAGTGGTAGTAATGAAAGAATCGGAAGGAAGTAAAAAGAGTTTAGGGAGGAATGAGAAAATAAAAAAAAATAAGAAAGGTAGGTAAAAAGAAAGAAAAAGAAAAAATATTAAGAAAGGCCGTCAAGGGGCAAAAAGAAAGTGAAGAAATGAAAAAGGTCAGGTAAAGAGGAAGAAGAAATGATAAAAGTATTATGAGTGAGGATGAGAGGAAAAAAGAAGAAAGCATGAAAAGGAAACAGAAATGACAGAAAGAAAAGGACAGAAGAAGAAGAAAGGACGGAAAGAAAAAGGAAGAAAGATGAGTACGGAGGAAGAAGAAAGGAAAAAAAAAAAGGAAGGTCGATACGGGGAAGGGGAAAAGAAGAAAGGTAGATACAAAGGAAGGAGAAAAGAAAAAAAAGGAAAAAAGATGGGTACGGAGGGAGGAGGGAAAAAGAAAGGAATAAATTTGGGTACCGAGGAAGGAGAAAGGAAAAAGGAAGAAAGGCGGGTATGGAGGAAGAAGAAAGAAAAAAAGGCGGGTACATAGGAAGGAGAAAAGAAAAAGAAGGAAAAAAGGTGGGTACGGAGGGAGGAGGGAAAAAAGAAAGGAATAAAATTGGGTACCGAGGAAGGAGAAAGGAAAAAAAGGAAGAAAGGCGGGTATGGAGGAAGAAGAAAGAAAAAAAAAGGCGGGTACATAGGAAGGAGAAAAGAAAAGAAGGAAGAAAGGTGGGTACGGAGGAGGAGGGAAAAGAAAGGAATAAAATTGGGTACCGAGGAAGGAGAAAGGAAAAAAGGAAGAAAGGCGGATACGGAGGAAGAAAAAAAAAAAAAGGCGGGTACATAGGAAGGAGAAAAGAAAAAGAAGGAAGAAAGGTGGGGTACGGAGGAGGAGGGAAAAGAAAGGAATAAATTTGGGTACCGAGGAAGGAGAAAGGAAAAAGGAAGAAAGGCGGGTACGGAGGAAGAAGAAAGAAAAAGAAGGAAGAAAGGTGGGTACGGAGGGAGGAGGGAAAAAGAAAGGAATAAAATTGGGTACCGAGGAAGGAGAAAGGAAAAAGGAAGAAAGGCGGGTACGGAGGAAGAAGAAAGAAAAAAAGGCGGGTACATAGGAAGGAGAAAAGAAAAAGAAGGAAGAAAGGTGGGTACGGAGGGAGGAGGGAAAAAGAAAGGAATAAAATTGGGTACCGAGGAAGGAGAAAGGAAAAAGGAAGAAAGGCGGATACGGAGGAAGAAGAAAGAAAAAAAGGCGGGTACATAGGAAGGAGAAAAGAAAAAGAAGGAAGAAAGGTGGGTACGGAGGGAGGAGGGAAAAAGAAAGGAATAAATTTGGGTACCGAGGAAGGAGAAAGGAAAAAGGAAGAAAGGCGGATACGGAGGAAGAAGAAAGAAAAAAAGGCGAGTACATAGGAAGGAGAAAAGAAAAAGAAGGAAGAAAGGTGGGTACGGAGGGTGGAGGGAAAAAGAAAGGAATAAAATTGGGTACCGAGGAAGGAGAAAGGAAAAAGGAAAGAAAGGCGGGTACGGAGGAAGAAGAAAAAAAAAGGCGGGTACAGAGGAAGGAAAAAAAAAAAAAGGAAGAAAGTTGGGTACGGAGGAGGAGGGAAAAAAAAAAGGAATAAAATTGGGTACCGAGGAAGGAGAAAGGTAAAAGGAAGAAAGGCGGGTACGGAGGAAGAAGAAAGAAAAAAAGGCGGGTACATAGGAAGGAGAAAAGAAAAAAAAGGAAGAAATGTGGGTACGAAGGAAGGAGTTAAGAAAAAGCAAGTAAGACCGGATTGATGAATTCGTTTTCTACGACTTATCAAACTTTTGTAGATTATTTAAAACTGGAAAAATATGTTTTAGATTCTAAGAATTTTGTTTTTTATGAAGATAATAATAGTTTTTAGTGATACACGTTTTACTAATTAACCTATAGAGGTGGATTGGTACCTTTTCAAATGGGTATTTCGCTTTAGTTAATATAACGAATCCAACGATAATTAGAACTCGGCTCTCCGATTAACAACACCAACACATTATCCCTACGCCCAACCTTACAACACCTGGTGTTCCTAAGCGATCACCCATTTATGTAATGAACAGTCTCGAAGTTGCTTAACTTCGGTGATCGTATGGGAACTGGTGTTTCAACGTGATGTGGTATTAAGCCAAGGTGGAAAACAAAATGAAAAAAAGAAATAAGCAGAAAGTCAAGTAAGAAGGAAGAAGAAAGAGAAAAAAGGCTTGGACGGAAGAAGAAAGGAAGAAGAAGAAAGGTATCTAAAGAGGAAGAAAGAAGAAAAAAACGAATAAGAAATAAAGACAAAAGAAAAAACTTAGACAAGAAAGTAAAAAAGAAAAATGTTATTGGAAATTAAAAGCGTAAAGAAAAAAAAACACTTTCAATCGAATCCGTTATAAAAAAAAAAAAAAAAAAAAGAAAAAGAAAAAGAAAAAAGAGTAAAAAAAAAAAAATGTTTATTGTTCGGTAGTGTTTCTCGTCCGCCCGAGAATTAAATTTTCCGTGACCGGACCGGATGTTGGCAGAAGTTTGAAATTTTTCAAGATGACAAAATTAATCAGAGCACTTGTCAAATTTTCATTCAGATATCAGATATTTCAAAGGCAGAAAGAAAAGAAAAACACTTTCGAAAAGAAACCGCAGGACGTAATCTTTGAAATTATTTTATATGCGTAAAAACAGCTGACAAATAATTCGTTTTACTCTACCATTTACTGTACGACTCTGCACCATGCCACACTCCTATCTACTGATCATGTTAATAAGCTATTCATATATATATATATATATATATATATATACACACACACACAATGTGCGATGAATAAATTGTCGCCATATGATTTTTTTTTAAAAATTACGCGCATGCGCGTTGTTTGCTTTTGATTTTGTCGACCGCACAGTACTGCTCGGCATTCGTGACGGAAGCCCCAATTCGAACATTTCAGAGTGTTTGGGTGTCAATCTGAGGAGAGTGCAGAGGATTCAGACAGAGTTGAATAAGTCTAATGGTGCTTACGAAAGTGTTTGGAGCGATCACTGGTGATGACGACATTGTCTCCATTCATCTTCCCACAATGCCTCAGATTCAACTCATAGAGGCCTACATCAAGTGTCTGGAGGTGGTAGTGCTGCCCTGGATAAAGAGAGTGGCTGCTGGAAGACGCAATTTCCGGCAACAGGACTCTGCCCCAATCTACATAAGCAGGAGATGCGATTCATGGCTGTCAGAAATTTTCTGCGGCCACATCAGCTCTTACATTACCTCCAGAATACAATACGTTGATAATTATATGTGGGGCAGAATTGAGCGAGAGACCAACAAAACTCATGTTAACACCAAAGATATACTGATGGCAAGGATTATGGCAGCATTCACCAATTTAAACAAGGAGACCATCCAGAAAAATTACAGAAGATTCCGAAGACCGCGGTTGCAGCCAATGGCGATTTTATTGAATAAATTTACTCTTTAGTGTTTCAAGATATTTTTGTTAATTTTGGAAAATATATCTGTTAAACTGAGATGTCAGTGTTATTTTCATTTTTGCGTAATTTAGACGACAATTTATCCATCGCATACGATATATATATATATATATATATATATATATATATATATATATATATATATATATATATATATGTACGTATACGTGTGTGTGTGTATAACTGTAAGCGGCTCAGAACCGCGTTCGATATTCAGTTTCTCATAAAATACCCATCGGTAAAGCATATACCCCTGTTTTCATTCACAGCTGAAAAGACTGTGTAGCTTTTGTTGGTAACCAGTCAAGAAGAAGGAAAATTCGGAAATCAAACCCCGAGAATGAGTGTTTACACACTTCCTGGCTCACTGTATACCATTTCTCAGTTATCAATTCTTCCGAAAAAGTGTGGTTGGTTCTACACATGCCTCCACTCCAATAATCAATTCTTATAGGTGGTTAGTCTGGCGGTCCGCTGATTCTAAAACCTGGACTGTTAGGTATTTTTACATATATATACACAAACACTACTGGGCAAAATCTTAAGGCTAATGAAAATAAAGAAAAAATATACCATACATACATACATACATACATACATATACACATATATATATATATATATATATATATATATATATATATATATATATATATATATATATCTCCATAAAGAGAGCTCAATGTCTAGTATACGGAGCAATATGATATACGTCATCGAAAACACGATTATAAATTATAATTTATTTCTACGTGTTATAAGATAAAATAAGACGTATCTCGGCTGATTTACAGGCAAATAAACTAACATACTCAAGAGCGAGAGCCGGATGTGAACGGGACAAGGCCCCGTCACAAAATGACCATTATCTTCGTCCACGCATGTTCCCGACGCAGAAGTTCCGGTCGAAAAATAAAATAATATTTTAAAGTGTTTCTATTTTTCGGCCAATAAAAATGCTTCCCTCCTAATTATATTTGCGTCGTTTTTCGAGCCGTTTAAGCCATAAAAAAAGCCATAAAAGGGGTCACACGGAAGTACACCAGGCAATCAACAGGAGGCCAGGGAAGAGACCTGTCACGGTCAGGCTGAGCGGTCAGCAGAAGCCAGCAGCAGAAGCCAGCAGCAGAAGCCAGCAGCAGTAGCGCTACGTGAACCAGCGAGAACTACTATGAGAGATCAACCCAAATCTTCAGCCGGTCTATGAACTATACCACAAGGTTGCTGTCCCAAAACCACACGTTCCTATTGAAATCAATCACGTAAATCTATTTCTGCTGTTGTATTTCTTTCTTGTAACCATACGCTTGTCTATAACATACGGGTAAGTTTTTAATACCCGTTCCATCAGACGGAGATTACAAATGGCTTGTATTTACACAATGGTTTAAAATTAAATTAATCCAGATTATTTAAAAAACAAAAAAAAAACAAGATAACAGGAGGTCTAGACGCTTAACTTATTTTCTGAGGATTTATAATATTGGAGACGTGTGGTGTCGGGGCAGTTAGCTTTCAACCTGATTTTCATATAGCCAAAAGAAAAACAAAACTTATCTTAGCAAATGGGTTTCATCCTATGACGGACTTTTTGCAACAGTTATTTATAAATAAAATTAAAATATTTTCTTTGTTTTTCAAAATTTTTAAATCTAAAAAATCTCATAAATATTCATGAGGCTAATTGAAACTTCATGATGGAATATGCTAAGTGACGTAATTTAGTGTTTAATAAACAAAATGAATAAATTATGTTGTTGAATTTTTAAATTTGTTGGAATGTTATTAATATTTCTATTATTTTAGTTTGGGATTAATTTATGTATTCTATATTTTAAGTAAAAGTTTATGAATTTAACCGTTTTCTTTTAATTCTTCCTGATGTTTATATGTGTTTGCTTACAAAAAGAGGAATTCTTTCAGGAATGGAGATATATAAAAAAAAAATCCGTGGCTCATCTTTATATTTTCATAACTTTCCATAGCGGCTCTCTCGAGAATTTTCCCACTAATTAAATTATTTTTTTTTTCTTTTAACAAGTGTTGCATTCTTTAAACCAAAATTGTGGTTAAACATATTTCTATGCATAGCTAATGCACTTGGCAAAATTTTTGTATCAGATCCTTTTTGTGATCATAGATACGATTTTTTAAAATTTCTACAAGTTTCTCCAATGTATTGTGAGGAGCAGTTGTAACAGTTTATTTTATATATACCTGCTCCAGAATTATTACTGTTATGGATATTTTGAGTTGTGATCATATCACTAATAGTTTTGCATATGCTTTTAATTAATTTGATAATGCTAAGATAATTTGTTTTGAATTGTAGATGTTAAAGAGTTAGTAAGTAGTATTATATGTCCGCTTTTTCGAGGTTATTTTCGAATGTGGTATTGTATTATATTGGACGAAACGCGTCGACCGAACTAATATATATATATATATATATATATATATATATGCATGTATGTATATATGGAATAATGATATATTCATTTTTATATATCAAGAACAGTTTTGGAGGAAAGGTGTATGACAAACTAAAATAAGTTTCCATATGTCACGTTTCGTCCTTTAGTCCGATGAAGTCCTATGGGACAAAACGCATCTCACGAAAACTTTTTCGAATTTGGAGGAGGAGGGTAACAGGTAATGTTTGTTCCAACGAGAGAAAAAGATAAACCGCAAACGTTTATGGTTGAAATGTGGATTACTTATTTTAAAATATATGTTATACTCTATTTTCTACACGCACACACACACAGATATATATATATATATATATATATATATATATATATATATATATATATATATATATATATATATATATATCAAGATTCAGGGATAGCGAAAGATGACATCCAGAAGCAAAGTATTAAGAGATATAAAAATATTGTTAAAAACAAAGAAAAGTTTCTAAACTGCTATGTAATATCTAATCTCTTATATCAAGTAAGTGTTCGACAATGTCCACCCGGTTGAATTAGAAACTTGACGCAACGCAGATGTAATTCTACTGACGAATGCTAAGAATACCATGGCCAGGACATGTGAAAGATGAGTACGTTTTAAAGAGAATAGGAACAATAAGGAAACTTATACTAACAATCAGAAGGAAACTGATGAATATGACACGCTGCATAATAAGGAAAGAATGTTTGGAGATCTGAACACTCAAAGGGCATATTAAAGTTAAGAGAAGCACAAGGAAATAACAAGCTTGTGTGAACTGATGACAAAACAACGACGAAGACGGATGCAGAAAAAAAGTCGAGAGATTTGTCTAAAATACACCAAATAATGGAAATATTTACTCTCGGATTTTTAGAAAAAAAGTAAAAAAGGAATCTATCAGCCTAAGTTTTAAGTTGAAAAAATGCAAAAAGCAATAGATGGAGAAAGCGGTCTAAAATATCCAATATATTGGAAATATTTAGTCTCAGAAATTCATGAAAAACAGGAAGGCCGGAGAATGTATCAGCTGATTTTTTCTCCTGAAAAAAAGAAACAAATACCTGAAGAGCAGCCTAAAAATGTTCAAATTAATGGAAATGTTTGATCTCATGAAAATTACGAAGGCCAAAGAATATATCAGTCGAACTTTTCTGCTAAAAAATGAAAAAAAAATCTGGAGAG